CTCTGCCTTTTCTTAAAACCAGGTTGAACATCTGGAGGTTCATGGTTCACGTATTTCTGAAGCCTGGCTTGGAGAAGTTTGAGCATTACTTTCCTAACGCGTGATACAAGTGCAATTGTGCGAATGTTTGAACATTCTCTTGTTCAGAACTTTGTACTCAATAGCTAGCTCAGTGCCTGATACATATAAGGTACTAAAGAAATATGTTTGAGTGAATGAATAACAATGAACAACTATTTACATGTAGATATTACCCCCACTCAGAGTAAGGGATAGGACATAGCATGTCATATATGTCACATATATGGTTGAGCTAGGCTTAATTAACCATGAAGAGTACCTGGAAATAGTTTCAAATTCTGGGCTGTGATACCACCTCTTGCCTTGCAAGGTAGTCATGGCAAACAAAACATGTCATCTGAAAGTTATAGCAACAAAGAAAAGGTGGTATTTCAAAAAAGTGATTCACATTATTGATTCAATGTGGAATAAAAGTCCTTTCTGGACAGGTGAGAGGAGCATGGTAACTGGATACTCCAGAAGCAGATGGGCTGATTTATTTTAAGAAAACTTTAAAGGAGTTGTTTTTCCCCTTTAGCTCAATTATCAGTTAATGGTGTGATAACTAAAAAAGCAAATGTAATTTTATCTCTTCCTCCTGGTTTACATTTGGTTGTTGTTTAAATTGTATTAATCTTTGTTGATTTCATTTTATATGTGATTAAGGGTTGTCCTCACTGAGGTGTGACTAGGAATAATCTCTTTGCAGTATTCTGTGTGTAATCTCTCTCTCTATATATATATGTAGACATATATATATATATATGTAAATTTATAAATAAATATAATTTATATATATATATAGAGATTTTTTTTTAAGGAATTGCTTCATGTGATTATAGAGTCTGACAAGTCCAAAATCTGCAGGGTGGGCAGGCAGAAAGAGCTGATGGTATAGTTCAAGTCTGAAGGCCATCAAGTCTGAAGGCTGGAGACGGAAGTGCTGATGTTGCAGTTCAAGTATAAATGCAGAATTCTCTGCTGGCAGAATTCTCTTTTGTTTGAGGGAAGTCAGTCTATTGTGCTATTCTGCCTTTCAATTGATTGGATGAGACCTATCCACATAGTGGAGTGCATTTTGCTTTATTTAGAATCCACCAACTTAAATGTTAATTTTATCTCAAAGCATCCTCACAGAAACATCCGGACTGTTTGACTACATATCCAGGCACCATGGCCCAGCCAAAGTGACACATAAAATTAACTATCACATTTGTGTTGTACTTCAATGCCACATTTGAAGACAATGATGCTTATTTGGAGCTGTGCAACCCCATGACGGCAAAGCAGCTAGAGACAATGTTATGTGAAGAACAACTGAAGGGACAGGGGTTGTTTAGAAAATCTGCATCGTTTGGCCTACTGGGTTCCACACTTGTTTATACCCAGTATCTTTCTGAGTTGAATCATCACATCTTATATCAGAGTTATAGTATGAGTTGTAGACATTTCACTGTTCTTTGGCTTGAAATTGCTTTAATTTCAGTTAAGTGCCTTTATCAACAAAATTTCCATGCTTGTAGTTTTTTGTTTTGTTATTTCCAAGATCTAGAACTTAAGAAGATTTCTTATTCAGTCTTCTGATTTATGCAAAATAACTTCCATGTTGAGCCTTGAGTAAAACATATTCTGTTTCTTGCATAAAAACATTTCTGCCTTTTGATTCCCTGCCTGGGAATCATTGACTCCTGGTGATTCCCTTTGCAACTATAAAACATCTCTCCTCATTGTAACAGCCTTAACTGTTAACTGTCTCATGCTCATTTCTGTGGGCACATTTCAATCCCATCCCCAGAAATTACAAACAAAACCAAGAACCATCATGTTAGGAAAGGTCTTTGATTATGGTTTTTTGTTTTTTGTTTTTCTGTGACTCTTAGACCTTTCATTAGCTGTTGGTCCAGAATTTATTGTATTCATTTTTTGTATTGAATAAATTTATTATATTCATTATTTGCATCATGGTGAGTAGTATGGGTGTAAAAGTTGTAATTTATTCATTCCTTCACCTGGTGTTTACTGAATATCTACTTGTGCCAAGCACCTCGAGGTGCTGGGAATTCAATGATGAACAAGTCATATAAACATCATATTTGAAAAAGATAGCATGAATGGTTATTGCCAATATTTTGTTTTCATCCTGATGAATCTTTCTTAATTCCAAACCTATGGATCTGGATACAAAAGTGAATTATTTCCATAGGTTTTGTCAGTTATACAGAATAAAAGGACTAGCACTCTTGTTAAAATTGAAAGATTTAGAGATGAATAAAACTCACAATAGTATAGTATCATTTCACAGTAACATATCATTACATTGATTATCTCTGTATAATTAAAATATTTCCAAGTCTTTTGCTCTTATTAAATTAAGGATAATTCATTTCCTGAACTATATAGCAAAAGAGTATCTCTAGGATCCTTGGAATTAGTGGAATAAGAACTGAATTGTTGGAATTGAAATTTTTATACCGTTTACTAGGAAATTTGTTTTATGTAATATTTTGAATTTTCATAATCCCCTTTCCCAGCATTCATGGAGAGAGAGAATGGTAAATTGTGAGCAAGTGTTCTTATGACAGATTCTATTTAAAATGATTAAACACAAATGCATTTTGTATAAGAAATACGAAGTGAATTAATAGCATATAAATGCTGAAATTTTCTGGACAATCTCATTATTTACAAGTCAACTTTTTTTTTTTTCAAATGTTGATGCCTTACATTTTCTTAGAGCTCTTACATGAGACTTTTTGGCATGCTTGTCCTATTTAATAGGTCATACACTCTCCCAGTTTTCCAAAAATGTCTTCTCTAAGGCTAGTCTGAACTTATCACATTTTCAGTTTTTGAGGGAATCATGAAAATCCTCTTAGGTATTCCTTGCTTAAGTCCCTATTTGCCCTCTTCTAATGGGTTATGTTTTATTATCCCAAGGCCATGCAGTGAACAAACACCAGTTCTCTATCCTGTCTTTTACTGCAAACTCATATTATTAAATTCTGAAACTTTTCAATTTTATTAGAAAAGAGGAGAACTTAATCCCTCCTTTGTTCTCAAGGAAATTGCTTTTCTTTTGTTCTCCAGGAAGTCATTTTTAATTCCCATATTCTTCTCTTCCAATAACTTCTCTTTTGTTCTGTTTTATGAATAAATCTACTAGCTGATCTCGCTACATGGTGTATCTGAATTATAGTTATTACAGTAGTAATAAAATTTGACTATACAATCTATTTTATATACCTATAGAAATTTAGGGTGGGTTTCGATACTATGATTTATGAATTATTAATTTATTTTTTTCCTAGCATAAATGATTAAATGGTGATCCTCTTCTCAGTTGGCACCTACATAGAAGGATATCCATTATTTTAGGGGTTGTCAATAATGTTTGTATAAATGAGATGATCAAAAGCCTTGACTCACCCTTCCACAATAAATAAATAAAAGAAAACTGGGCAATATATATGAAACAACTGTTTTCAGAGATCGTTCAACAGGCAGTGCAAAACTATAGTGTCTGAGAGAAGGAAATCAAGCTAGATTAGTCCTACAATTCCAAGTTTTCTGGCTGGAGTCACTTCATAGACAGACAGTGGTGAAGAGAGGTGGGACCCAGATAAAACATGGCAGCCTTTCTAAACTGAGGAGACATATAAGAGTCAGAGAGGCTTAGGAAACTGTAATTTATGGGGCAGAGGGCCAAAAACAAGGGAGGGAGGTAGGGAAAGATCTCCAGAAGTTTGTATGGATGTCCCTTTGAGCATTTTGATTGAATACTAAGCTGTACATATATGAGGTGAGACTCCGCAAGACAAATGACTACCAGCAAAGGAGCAACTGCAAGAAAGCTATAAATTGAAAAACCATCAGAGTTTCACAGGGTTGGTAGATGTTTGAGTTCTGACCAATTGGGTGGAAAGGCCTGTTCATGCTCAGGGAATTCAACAGAGATCCCCAAATGGATATGCCATTCATTTTACTTCTAAGAAGAAGGGCTAAAACTATCTCCAGAGTAAAATCTGTTCTAGGCTAACTTTAATAAAGTTAAAATAGAACCTTCAAAATGATCATATTATACTTCAGGTGTAGGCATACCTCAGAGATATTGTGGGTTCCATTCTAGACCACTGCACTAAAATGAATATCACAATAAATTGAGTCACATGCATTCTGGGGTTTTCCAATGCATGTGAAAGTTATGTTTATACTATACTGAAGTCTGTTATAAAGTTTGCAGTCTAAAAAACCCTTAAAAATTACATACTTTAATTAAAAATATTCCTGAAAAAAATGTTTACCATCATCTGACAATGCAAATGGTAACAAACCACAGTATTTATGAAGCACAATAAAGTGAGATGCAGTAAAACAAGGTATACCTGTAAATTACATACCAGAATAAAACTTAATTCCCTTTAATGAAACACAAAAGTCATTCAACAATAAAATTCTTCATATTAAACATTAATTACAAAATTGCTAGACACGTGGAGAATCATGAAACTTATGACCCATAGCCAGGTGAAAAAAAAAATCCATCAATAGAAATAGACCAAGAAAGGAAGAGATGATGGAATTAATAGACAAGGACTTTTAAAGCAGTTATTATAAATATATATAAAGATTTAGAATGGTAATGGAGATAGAGAAAAGATAACTTTGTTATTTTCTATGTAAATGAAATGAATTCCTTTGGAATAAATTCTGGGGCATATCCAGGGAAAGGAGAGAATGGTTGTGAATCCTCCCCCTCTAACTCTGATGGGTTTGCTCTCTATGAACCACTCTTTCTCTCTGGGACTTTGGTAGACCTGCTGAGGTTTACCACACTATGACAACAAGAGAAAATTACGGAACAGAGCATTGCCTAGAGATGGTATGTCACAGCAAGTGCCTGCTGCAACCATGGAACCTTTGTGTTCCAAGAGATGTATGAACAAACAGTGAACATTTCTCTGTGTTCACAAGAAAGGGCCCAGAACATAAGTGAGAAAGAAAGACTCAGTAGACTTGGCAGGAGGTTCACCATTCTCTCAACCTGGGTAAGAAGAACCCTAGGGAGATGGGAGAAGAGAAGAGGATGCTGCCACATCTCAATGGATTATCAACAACACAGTGGTGAAACATAATCTCCAAGGATACCATTTTCCAAAAATGAGACCAATTAAAATGCAAAATGGATAGCCCTTGTACCCAGATATCATTGTGGCATATTTAAGTCCCCCAGCTCAACAGGGAAGAGGAAGAGGAGAAAGGTAAAGCAATCTTAAATAGGAATGAGTCTTCATTTTGATGCATCTTAGTTTGTTTATTGTTAAACAGGCTAAAAGAAAATGATTTCCTGCTCTCCAGTTGCTTTTCCAATCATCTAGCTTTAGATTTGTTACTGGATAATTTTAGAGATGTGATCTTTCTGTAGAGGAATAAACATGAAGCCAGCCTATAAACAGCAGCAGCCTATAAACCTGTGAGAAGCTATGTGCTTTGTGTAGGTAAGCAATTTCAAAACAATATGTAGGTACATTATTAAGAGGAAAGGTTAAAAAAGCACAGTATACAGCTAAAAAATAGATGATTTTTTGTATCATTTTCGAGATGTGATGATTAAGTACTTGCTTTGTCTTATCAGCAAATACACAGCTGCAGTAAAAAATCTCCATTTACCCTATAAATGTGATCTGAGAGAACTAAATTCTGTGTTTACCTGGTTTGAGCTTTTCTTCATTAAACAGGTTGATTTAAGGGGAGTATACATCCAGGCTAATTTATATATAGCAATATCTACATATATGTATATATAAATCTATACATATTAATAAGTGTGCCATGGCTTTATTGGCATAAATTGTAAAAATAAAAGAAAAGTGAAAGTTTTTACCATATTTTCCTATTGCTCCATGGTCAGTCTAAACTGGTGGATTCATATATTCCAGAATGTCATGATAATTAGAGCTGAGACGCTAATTAGATTACCAAAAAGGCGTCTGTGGTCATTCGTTGTCTTTCAGGTGCCTATCTTTTTACTAATTTTGGTAACACTACCCACCTTTTCCCCACCCTCTGTCCTTGGGCTTTGTGTGGCTTATGCTATTGAGTCTAAGAATAGGCATGTGATTCAGTATAGGCCATCATGTTTTGTTCCTGTTTAAATTGATTGGTTTAGGAATGGGCAGGTGACTTGATTTAGGTCACTGAGAGTTAAGCCCAGGAACTCTCTTTAAACTTGTTGAAAGGAGCTTGTGGTTTTTTTTTTTAACTTTATTATTTTTATTTTATTATTCTTTTACTTTTTTTTTCTCTGAATTTCAACCTAAAACTGCTATCAAATATCTTGCCACTTTGAATAAAGTCTACACAGAAGGGATCACAGCTAAGAGATGGAAAGATACTGAATCCCATGACATCCTTTGAAATGCTGAGTGAAGATGGGCCTGAAGACAGAGCTACCTCTATAGTTTTCAGATACTTAGGTAAATATATACCCTTGTTTGCTTAGATAAGCTTGAGTTAGATTTTATGTTATCTGCAAAAGAGTACTAGAGTAGATATTTTCCATTTGCACTCCAACTTCACTCCCTCCTCTTCTCCCTTCTGTCTATGCCCCAGAGGGCTAACCTATCTGGACTGCCTCACAGAGTTCTATTACCCTCTGGCTTCTGGTTATGTTCAGCCAATGGAAATCTCTCTGGAGGCTTAAGTCAGGGCAGTTATTCCCTATTTATTCCTAGAGGTTCTCACTCAGAATAATATGTGGACTGGTCTTTCTTGCAGAGGATGTAGATCCTATCGTGTCCTCTCTCCAGGTTTGAATAGCCATTTTCTCCCTTCATACCCTCAGATGTAGGGGAATAGTACCACCCTACAACTGCAAGCCCTGGATTAAAGCATTGTGCTTAATTGATTTCCTGTAACCCTTCCCATACTTTTGTAGTCTATTAAATTATCCTCAGTTATCCTATTTCAGGCTAATCTAGAGTTATCTTTTTGTGTCAGAACCTGAGTGGTTCCTACTCTGTTTATTTGGGCTTCCCAGGTGGTTCAGATGGTAAAGAATCTGCCTGCAATGAGGGAGACCTGGCTTCAATCCCTGGGTCAGGAACGTCCCCTGGAGAAGGAAATTGCAACCCACTTCATTATTCTTGCCTAGAGAATTCCATGGACAGAGGATCACAAAGAGTCAGACATGACTGAGTAACACTTTCACTTTAAACATAAAGGAAAATGTGGTAGTTTAAAGACAATTAGTCTTTCCATTTGAATAATTTATTGCTTGGTATTGAATGTTCAATTGAGTATCAAGACAAGGCTTCAGACTTTTTGCAATGCATAGAATTTTAGGAAGTCTTTGGTGAGGGAAACTGAGGCCTGTTGGCATCTATGAGCTGGGACTTATTTAAGATTTTTTGGATTCTTTTCTAGTCTGTCACTTCTAGAAACTAACTACCTTTTATTGCAGCCATGATGGGAGCCTTCTTTGTTATCCATAGTAGCTCTAAGTAAGCATCACAATGCTCTCACAAACTTACATTTTCACTTCTTCAGGTTGTAAAAAGTAGCCTACTTGAATTTTTTTGAATAAAAATGAGTAAAGAAATAATCTAGAAATGCACACCAAATTAAATGGCAGCAATCTATATGCACATAAATATTCATTTACATCTAGTGAATTTACACTCTGTTTGCTTAAAATTTTCTTGTACTATCTATGTAAAAAGGGTTTCCTAAGAAAATTAACAATGTTAATAAAATTTGCATGTTTATGTTAAAAACTACTTAAGAGAGCAAACTTTCCATGGGTCTTTATATACTTCAGAAAGATACAGTCATAAATATGCTAATTTCCAATTATTCACTGAAGCAGTTTGTTAACTAGGTATCATGTATTTATTGTGTATATTTTAAGTAGTAAGTTTACTTTAATACATCTTTCAAACTTTTATCACATTAGCCTTTTCTTCAGTTAGTCTGAATGATGAGCACTGATGAGCATTTTTCCTGATATAATATTAAAAAATTAACCTTACTGAATGTATATAATGGATTAACAGCTGGTGGCTCAGTCTGCAATGTAGGAGATTTGAATTCAATCCCTTGGTTGGGAAGATCCCTTGGAAAAGGAAATAGCAACCCCCTCCAGTATTCTTGCCAAGAAAATGTCATTCAAAGAGGAGCCTTGTGGGCTACAGTCCATGGGGTTGCAAAGAGTTGGACATTACTGAGTGACTAATACTTTCACACTTCTTTCAGATATTCAGTATTAGCCTAAGGGTGTGAAGTATATATTCAGTAGTCAAGATTAAGCAAAATATTACTTTATTAAATCAATCAAGATATTTTTCCACATCATCTAGATTTTCCTGACTTCATTTACAGCACAATTTTTACACTCAACAGCAGTTCAAGCTAATAATTAATATATGGCTGCTATATTTTTTGGAACTATTTATTGTGATAATGGACCAAAATATTTGAAATTGTCCCTAGTTTAAGGAAAAAAAAAACCAAACCCTAAAAATGCCAAGGGGAAAAGTGTTTTATGAATGACACTTTTCCTCTTAATCTCTTTTGTGAAAGGAAAATCAAAATAGAGTCAGTATTGCTAAAAGAGCTTTCTAAAATGGAGACCGAGAAGCCACTGAGGAAATGTGACTTATGTACCTCTCAGTCCAGATGGAATCTGACCTTTTAAACACTTATTGTCCTACTTAAGATACTTATCCATCATGTACCCTAATATAAACCTGTGACAGCCTATTTACTTACTGAATCCTTACCCTAAAACAACTTGTGATTCCTTAAGGACAAATATCCCCTGACTTGCATCAGTTCAGTTCAGTTCAGTTCAATTGCTTAGTTGTGTCCACTCTTTGTGACCCCCCTGGACTGCAGCACGCCAGGCTTCCCTGTCCATCACCATCTTCCGGAGTTTACTCAGACTCATGTGTAAGGAGTTGGTGATGCCATCCATCCATCTCATCCTCTGTTGTCCCCTTCTCCTCCCACCTTCAATCTTTCCCAGCATCAGGGTCTTTTTCAATGAGTCAGTTCTTCACATCAGGTGGCTGAAGTATTGGAGTTTCAGCTTCAGCATCAGACCTTCCAATGAATAATCAGGACTGATTTCCTTTAGGATTGACTGGTTGGATCTCCTTGCAGTTGGATCTCCTTGCAGAAGATGTCTTCTCCGACACCACAGTTCAAAAGCATCAGTTCTTTGGTGCCCAGCTTTCTTTATAGTCTTACTCTCACATCCATACATGACTACTGGAAAAACCAAAGCTTTGACTAGATGGACCTTAGTTGGCAAAGTATTGTTTCTGCTTTTTAATATGCTGTCTAGTTTGGTCATAGCTTTTCTTTCAGGAGCAAGTGTCTTTTAATTTCATGGCTGCAGTCACCATCTGCAGTGATTTTGGAGCCTGAGAAAATAAAGTCTCTCACTGTTTCCATTGTTTCCCCGTTTATTTGCATCAGAGTCAATCACAATTTTCTCACAATTTAACATCCTTGTGGTTTTTGTCTTTTTAAACTCCTAACTCTTTCTCTTCTTCGGAACAGTCTTTTGGTTCGAAACAGTCTGTGTCTCCCAAATTACAATTCTTTAAAATGTTTTTTTTTAAATTAATTTATTTCTAGCTGTGCTGGGTCTTTGTTGCTGTTGCTTTGCATGGGCTTTCTCTACTTGTGCCGAGCAGAGGCTGTTTTTCATAGTGGTGCACAGGCTTATTGTGGTGGCTTCTCATTGCAGGGCACAGGCTCTATGGTGCTTGGGCTTTAGTAGTTGTGGCACACAGGTTCAGTAGTTGCAGCTCATGGGCTCTAGAGCTCAGACTCAGTAGTTAATGGCACATGGGCTTTAGTTGCTCCATAGCATGTGGAATCTTCCTGGACCAGGGATTGAGCCATGTCCTCTGCATTGGCAGGAGAATTCTTTTCCACTGCACAACAAGGAAAGTCCCCAAATTGCAATTCTTAAGACCCCCAAATAAAGCTCTTTGTTTTTTGCAGCATCAATACTGATTATTGTTTGACATTTTCAAAACTGTATTAAAAGTATGTACCAATTTTCACAGAAGTCTAATAGACTTAAGAAAATATGTTTTATAATAATAGTTAATAATACACAAGAGTTAAGCAGCATGAATTAGTGCTTCACTATGCTAGGCACCCTTGTTGATTAAAGGGCACCATAAAATATGTTTCTTGCTTTTAAGCAGAATAAAATTTAAGAGAAGTGAGTTATCAAAAGTATAAAAAGTATACTTTTTATATAGGTAGTATAAAAAGTCTTGACAGTTCAAAGAATAGATATGTGGAGGACTATTAGATGAAGAAAGACAGTATTTACAGAATGCTGGCTACGGCTGTAATCTGGGCTTTAGTCCTGGCTATAGCATATGCTAGTTACGTGACCCTGACTAAGTATCCTGAGACAGGTTCTTAAGATTGAAATGGTTACTTACCTGACTATGCCATAAAATCACATGATGTGTGAAAGATGTGTCTTTCATGACATCATGAAATCATGAAAGATGTGTCTTATGCCCTCATCTTTTCCCTACTAAATTCTCTCTTTTTTTTCCCTTTAGTTTCTTTTGATATATTATCTAGAACTCCATCTTTACCTGTGTTTTCAATTCTGTGTGTGTGCTCAGTCCCTCAGTTGTGTACGACTCTTTGCGACCTCGTGGACTGTAGCCACCAGGCTCCTCTGTCCATGGGATTCTCCAGGCAAGAATACTGGAGTGGGTTGCCTTTTTCTCCTCCAGGGGATCGTCTCAGGCCAGGGGTTGAACCCATGTTTCCTGCATCTCCTGCATTGCAGGTGGATTCTTTACTATTAATGTCTTCCAAAGAAATAGTCTGAATGTACCAAAGATACCTTAAGCCCACATACTCAGAAAGTATATTGATAATAAGATTTATTAGAGTGTGTTTAAGATGATGGCAGAATTTGCCCCACTGTAATTTTCACACCTATGACTTCAATTACCAGTACATTAAAGTTGAAAAAATAAATAAAATTGTGATCATATTTTTATTTTCAAAATAGCACTCCATCGTTAGATTATAGGAAAAAAACAGAGGAAAAAGAATGGACCATCCTGGCAAAAGATTATGAAGCTCTGAGCTCAGGCAATGAATGGTACTCGGCATGGATCATAATTAAAGAGGTATTTAGGAGGAGGATAGGCAGATTTTTGGACGTTTGCTAGAATTCCCTCGTGAAACCATTTTGGCCTTGCACTTTCTGTGGGCTACTGTTGTGAAAAGTATATTTATTTCTTCTATGAAAATTAGTTTGTTGGACATTTTATATACACTAGGGTTAATATTCTGAATGTATATATTTCATCTAGGTTTTACAATTTATTAGCAGAGTTGTACCATGTGGTGTCTTATGATTTTTTGAAAAAAGTTCCTGTTTAATGGTTACTTACTTATCAATTCTTATTTTCTATATTTGTGT